ACAAGAATTTATAAAATGTATGCACCTAATAATGTTTCCAGGAGCTGGGACGTGTGAATGGTTGCTCGTCCCACCCACTCAGAGCCCTGGCCAAGCGGGTATTTCGGTGTGACTTCCTTCTTTTATTCAAAGTCCACGATGCCAAAGCACTCCCAGTGATTATTTTTATTGAACACTTTGCTCTTCGCCCTCCTGCAAAATATTTTCCTATTTCCCTGTATTAAGGTGTGGCGCATTTTAATAGCCCCAGGGCTGTTGCCATGGGTTGGGAGGTTTAGCTCATTCCCAACCTTTTAATCAAGAAACCAAGGTTACAGGCCCCAGTCCAAAAAGGAGGGGTCAATGCCAGGACCTGCATATTTTCCAGGCCCCAGACAACTCTCAGTTAGGCCAGGAGAAGACTTTGAAGTATCCCCTCACCAACCAGTTATAGAAGGGGAAAAAAAGAGCCTAACTGCTAAAACCACATGCCAAAACATAAAATTTACATTAAAAACTGTGAAATTATTCTTTTTTCTTTAGAGATCTTACTGATCAAAAGTCAAAGTTACTAAGAAACATCTCATAACAAAACTAAACATGTGATTTTAGAGACCTGATTACAAAGAAACATTCAGAATTTCTTCTAGGAGCTACCTGACTCCTGGTAGATTTCTGTTGACTAAATTTGACTCTAAGTATTGGTGACAGAAGGAGCATCTCCTTTGAGGAAGACTCTAAAAGTTAGAAGATATGGAAGAAGAAAAAAGTGATTGTCACAGGAGCTTGGAAGCTGTTTAAATAAGTCCTCTCTGCCTCCCTAGGATTAGACTACTGCAAGGAATTTCAGTGCCAAGGAAATGTAGCAGTTGGGAGCTGAACACGCAGATGGGCTTACAGAGAGAACAGGCAGCTGTCTTCCAAGAGGGGATTTCTCCCTGCACAGTGCCCTCCCCGGGTACCCCACCTCTATCGAAAAATAGAATCCTCCAAAGATCAACCAGCATGAAAATCCACCTAGCAGTTTCATCACCCAGCTAGAGAATCTGTCCCCAGTTAAAATGCAAACGCATGAGCAGGAGTAACACACTGTGGATTGTTGGATGCCTCGGTGCTCAGAGTTGTATTCAGTCTTTTCCCAGAGGTGCCTAAGGGAGGATGTTTAACTGGGAAAAGAGGGGAGAGCCCAAGGTTAAAAGGGGACAGTAGGAATCCATGGAGGACAAATGAGGGTGTCCTGAGGAGGGACAAAGGCATCAGAGAACAACACATGGATTCCATCCTGGTTCTGAATGGGCAAGCCCCACTGGGTGCTAATCTGGGGGTCAGGCACGTGGGAACCTTGAGTCAGAAGAGGCAAATCCTCTCCCCCAAAATCAGTTCCATCTCCATAGGAGGATACTATCCAGCAATCAGTAGCATAGCCAAGAAGGAATTCGAGATGTTAGACTAAGATAACAACAAATAAATGCTGCCAATGGGCTGGTGATGGCAACTCATGCAAACCTATAACCCACTGAACACTAGGTCTGCCTTGGTTTCATTTTGCAAAACATGGCTTCTAAGTTAAAGTTATTCCTGCCGGCAAGTTCTCCTATTGTAAAAGAACAGGACATTAAGGAAAAATCTGTTTCTAACTAGAGTTTCTTATAGCTTATGCTTGCCTGACTCAAGTCCCCATTCACTTACTCCCTTGACAAGCTTTGGAAAGGCTTACAGAAAATAAACAGGTGCCCCTTCATAACTAAATAATTCCCCAAATTAAATCCACCTCTTTCTCTACTGGAAAATAATGCCTACTCCTGTTCCTTCCACAGATACACAGAATTACAGACGATTCTCCATCTGCCATGCTAATGGGTCAATGGAAAAAACAAAAACAAAAAAAAAACCTCACTCTTGAAGAAGAGTTTCAACATCCTCCCTCAGAACAAACAACAGACTGAAATGGGCAGCTAACAATTAGTAAAAGAATGGACTGATTCACTTTTTACTACCCTTCTTGAACCTAGAGGGAGTGCTAGTAAAAAAAATAAAATAAAATAAAAATCTAACCGGGCAGCTGAATGGGGACGGTTGAGGCAAACAAAACAAAACAAAAAACCCAAGATCTAGATGAACTTCAGGGTCATGGAGCCATCTGAAGTGTGATGGATGTTACAGACCTTTGACTTCTAAAAACACATATTATTTTGCATAAAATGTCAAGAGATACATGAACCCTTTGGTGCCCATTCATGGACCCCCAGAGGTATAGAATCTCTGCCTAATTTCTAGAATTTACTCAACAATATAATTGCCCACTGAGAGGTACCTATAAAAAGGCTCTCTGCCACATTCTTTATAAAAGCCTATTACTGGAAACAACCTAGAGCGCCATCAAGAGGGGACTAATTAAGTAAGATCATGGCCAGTAACAAGAATGGGATGAATCTATGAGCACCCCAGGAAACAAAGGCCAAAAATGTGTTTTCACTGAAAAACACAAGGTAAGAAACATTGGGCCAAGAATGACTGTATAAACATGTTATTTCTGAAAGGGCACACAAGGAACTAGAAACAGTGTGTGTGCCTGAGATGGAAGCCTGGGCCATAAAGGGCTTGAAGTTGGCAGAAAAATTACTTTTCTATTTTTAATCCATGCTATTACTTTTTTAATTAAAAGAAAACTAGTTGGAGAGAGATAAATAAGTAGCTGAATGGAGAGAGAGAGAGAGAGAGAGAGACTTATGGTTTAAAAAAATAAACTTCTGGTCTAGCTAAGTCCCAAAATATCCCCAGCCTTGAAAACAGTTGATATCGTAAAACATTTGGCAGCAAGACATAAATAGGAAAGTATCTCATAAATGCTTTCCCCAGCCCGGTGGGGCTGCCGCCGCCACTCAGAGCAGCTAAACCCCCTCTACCACAGTGTGGCTTTCCTGGCTTTTCCTCTCACCGAACCAATTATGGAACATTATAACAGCAGCACCAATATTATTTTTTAAAGGCCGATGTTACTCACTAAATACCCACTAAACTGATCTCCTTGCTCCATTTACAGCCAGCTTAAGGGCAAATCCAGATAGCGCAAAGGATGCATCCTTGGGCTCGATCTGCATGCGGCAAGTCAGCAAATAGCCATTGTCAGCTTTAGAGTCTTCAAATGCCTGACCCCCCGCCCAGGGGTGGCCAGGTGAGCAGAAGAGCAACCTTTCTGGAGATGGCTGGGCTCCCTCAGGCTCGGCAAACCATCTCTGTGTTCTCACAAGGGATCTTCGCCTTACATCTGACCAGTTAGCAAGGGTGACCAAGGGTAGCCTGGTCGCAGGTTGGGCCTAGGTGTGTGTTCCTCAACAGAGGACAGGACTGCATCTCCCTCCCACATGGCCCCCCACTCACCGCTGAGATCCAACAGTCCCGGGAGGCTCTCCTACAGAGCCAACTCTCACTGGCCCTATGTTCTCCTGGCCCCACTGGACAGGGTCTATCCAAGGGACTGCCACTGTTCACCTTCTTTGACTGACAGGGTCTGAATCCCCCCACTGTGGCCTTGAAGATAAAAAAAAAAAAAAAAAAAAGGGATAGAATAAAATCTGGCCAACTTTTTCACCCGAGAGAAGGCTCAGAATCAGAACTTTTATGAGGTCTTCAAAAGGGTCTGCAGGAGAGTAGCATCATATAGCTAGTAAGGTTTGACAAAAGCCTTCTGTCTCTGTGTTCCCACGGTTTGGCATGACAAATGACAAGCTTTCCTGGAGGATGGGGCTCCAGATAGTTCCGGACTCTCCAACAGAAGGGGAACACCAGAAAACACCTAAGTCGCTCTGATTCGAGTATGAATGGCACGTGTGATTGGAGGCAGGGGGCAGGATGTTCGTGCTAACCCTCTCAGCTGATGTTTGGTGAGTCTGCACTTGCTGACTACGTCCCACCGAGGAAGTTGTAAGAGGCAGTGAGGATCAACCCAAGTGGGGAAGATATTTGAGTTCTGCATGAATAATTCGTGCCGGACACAGTCGGAACACAGATCGGTGAGAACGGGCATCGCTGTAACTTCAGCACATTTACTCCCCCTGAGGGTCTAGAGATCACCTGAGCCTACATGTGGTAAAAACATCAAATTCAAATGCCAGCACAGAAACGTGAAAGACTCTCCTCCCTTGAATCACTAATGCGAAGACAGTGACCAGGAGCTGGTCTGTTTCTCCCCGATTCATCAAGAGAGAACCTTGTGCAAGGGAGGAGGCTCCCCATTCTCAGCATCTTTTCCGTGGTTTTAGCCCCAACTCTGTGGTCTATGGAAGAAGTGGGGAGGGCAGGGGGCATACATTTCACAGCCTGGGACTTCAATCAATTCAAAGGGAAAGAAAGACATCTACCGCTCCTCGTGCTAACTGGCCCTTCAATTAGCCAAATGCCCTGAATGAGCGTGCAATGATGAGACAAGGAGGGACAGTCTTCCCCAGAGACTGAAAAACCATGTACCCCTTCCAGTGCACCCTCCACTCCTTGTCAGTGGGCCACGGCCCGGTTGCACCTCCCCGGCATTTAGCAACTGCGAGGTGCTCCCTCTCGGGGAGGGTGTTCCCTCTACCTTAAGAGAAAAGGTGTTTGGGGGTTTTCTGGCTCCCAACTGAATCAGTGAGAGAAACAGCTACAGCTTCCCAGGTGCATCAAAAAGAGGAAAGTCATGTGGATGGAAAGGAGCATTCACGGTCCATCAGACAGCAGGAGATGGAGGGACAAACGCTAGGTGCTGTAACCCAAATCAGCCCAGTGCCACCAGAGGGGTCCTGGTGCACTTGGCCTAGCTGGGAAGACATAGAGAAGGCCCTGTGAGCTCCTGTGTGGTAAGCAGGTGGTTTGGAGAGCAACAGGGAAGGAAGGCACAGGGCCAGACACCGGTTCGGCCCTGTGCCACGGTGGGGTAAGTCACATGCATGGACAGGACAGAACATGGGTCTGTCCCTTGTCCTTCCTCTGCCACCAGGCCCAAGCCTAGGCTGCCTGACCCAGCCCAAGGTCTGCAGGGAGCTTGCCTGAAATAAGCCCAGCTCTACCTATCCGGATGGAAAGTTCACTCTCTGGGAAGAGCAGCCTGGGACCCTCAGTGTCAGACTTCTTCATCGACGCAGGGGCGAAGTTCAGTGCCAGGGCCGTCGGGGGGTCTTCTGTGGCACCCTGAAACAAGAAGCAGTGACGTCACTGTAACACCCCCACCACCTTCACTCCCCAGACCCCTCCAGCTCAGAGCCACCCGGTCAGCCGGCCGGTCTCTCCCAAAAGCGCCGGGGCTGGGCTCACAAGGAAGACGACGAGCTTTCTGGCTGTAGAGCTTTTGGGGTGACAAAACCCCTGGGATCTGAGGATCGATTGATGCTGATCCTAGAAATGGGAAGAACACGTACTGGGAAAGAGGGGGGCCCCCAGCCCACGCTTCATCACCGCAGGGCAAAGGGCACAAGGGACTCAACTCCCGAACTGTCCCAATAAGGCTATGTGGTAGGTTCTCTCGGATGGCAGCCTTGCCGCATACAGGAACAAGGTCAACATTTTTAGGAACTGACCACCTTCATGTTTCTCATGAGATCCAAAGGAGAAGCAATCCAAACAAAAGCACCTCAAAAGAAGGAAACAGCGACAGTCGCGGGGACCCAACATATTTGGAGTTAAGTCCAGACTGACCTTAAGACGGCCATGTCACCCTTGTGCTTTGTCTGTAGCTAGTTAATGTGACTGTCTCTACATTAACTAGGCAAAATCTCAATTTCAATCCCCGATGTTTATTTAATACTTATAGACCGCCAACTTTGTGGCTCCTTGGTGAATAAGACAAAGTCATAGCTTCTCATGAAGCCTACATTCCAGTAGGAACAGATAAATGAATCCATAATGGGGCCGAGCTTCTCTTCCAAAGGCATCTGTGGAAACCCCCCAACCCTGCTGACGGCTTACAAATGCACAGGATCCCGATGGGGATGAGGAAGATGAGTAAGCACCCCCAAAAGGGCTTGCATCCTCCAACTTCATCCAAACACACTGATGCTAGTCGCTAAGGGAAGCTGAGTAGAATCATCTTGGTGGGCAAAAAAAACCAAGATATTTTTTTGAAATCCAGGCAAAAATAGTTCCAAACAGAAGGTTCCATTTAAAATATGTACCTCTAATATGGGAGAGGAGAAGACTGATGATCCGATCATTGAAATGCATCCATTTATAAGCAACTACTAAAAGTCCTGGCTAAGCTGCTTTCATGAAGGAATCTCATCAAAGTTATGCCTGGCTGTGTCTTACACACACACACGCATGCACAAGTTGCCTCCTTGTTTTCCAATGTCACTGTGGATCAGAAGCAGAAAGAGAATCTAATAATTCAGACATTTTAATTCATTATTTCTTTCCGATGATATGCTGAAAATAAAAACATAAGCCTTTCCTCTCATATCTTCCCATTTGTCCAATAGATCAATATTGTCCTAATCATTTTATTGGCAACGTCCTCCATAACACACTTTGAATAAGGATGACGACACCTCATTGAACCTTGTTGCTTAAAGCTGGGGTTGGGGGGCGGAAAGCCTCATGGCTCTGTTTGAGCTTCCCTCGTTCCGGTCGTGGGGTCCCTTTGTGGAGTCCCAGGGGCTGCAGGATCTCCCCTGCTCTGTCCCTGGGAGGAGCACAGACAGAGGCGGCCTGTCACGCCAGATCACACTCGAGGTTGGCACTACAGATGGACTGGATCGCGGGGACAGAAGGGACTTGGAGAGGGCCAGTCTCTCCCCTGTCGAAAGTCCCTGTCGGCACCCCCGGGTGACAGCTGGTGTCTGCACCGCGCCGTGGACGGGAGTCACAGCCCTTTGTTTACGTGCTTTAATTATTTCTAATTCTCTGCCTCAGTGCCCATTGCCAGTGTTCCGGGGGAGAGGCGGGGTGCAAAATCATGCAGGCTGAAAACTACCGTTCTCAGTGAAAACCGGTCTCTCTAAGCGGCACCTTGCTCAATGGGCCAAGTGAGCAGCATCGGGCATCTGAATGCTGAGGAACACTGCTTTCGAACGATTTAGGATGGTCAGGGCCCCAAAGCTCCTCACATTGTTGGTAATGCTGGAAACTCATAAACTCTCAGACCCTTTTTTTATGGTGAAGGTAAGAATTTTGCCACTTTTTCTAGGAAGCCTGACTGCCTTCGTGTATTCTGGCAAATTCTTACGAAGCAGCAACCGTGTCCCAGAGCTGTGCCAGGTTCTGGCAAAACAAAGTTAGCCGGGTCCCCTGTCCTCATGAATCTTGAGTTCTCCTTCCAGCACAGACAACAAAGTAACAATAAATGCAAAACAGAGTGCCAGGAAGTGATAACGCAAGAAGACAAGGGAGTCCCAGTCAGCAGAGCGGGATGCGCCCTGGGTTTTGGTGTCCGGCGAGGCTTTGTTCCAGCACCTGACAGGTGTGCTAGCCGGCTGGGAAATGTTAAGGATGGAGCACTCCCCTCCAGATAAGATGCTGAGGGAGGCCTCTCTGAGACCGTGGCATTTGAGCAAAGACCTGGATGTCAGGGAAGAAGCCACAATGATTTCTGAAGACCGTGTTTCCGGCAAGGCCCAGCGAGGCAAGCGTCCCCCTGTCCCGCCATCTCCTTTCACCACTTCATCCCACCTCCAACTCACTTAGAAGCTGTCCTTCTAAAAGCTAGACAAGGACCCAGCACATCCCACCTGGCCCGGCCCCCTCCCGTGCTCCCCACCCCACACCCCTTCTGGGGCCACTGAGCAGCAAGAAAGCTGCAGGGCGCACCCACAGGGTGAAGCCCAGCACTGCTTCCACACCCCATGCCTGGCAACGCTCCCTATGTGTCTCTGAGCCCAGACACGGCTGGCTTCCCAGCACTCCTTCCACATTCCCTTCTGGGATTCTCAACGTCCCCACCCTCCCCACTCAACCGCTGATGAGGACAACAGAAACAGAAATACATCCCTCGGAATTTCAAGGAATGGCTCCCATGGGAGATGCCAATGCTGCTTTGTTGGCTCGCTCATAATGCCCATGGAGGTGGGGGAAAAGTCAGGAAGCACCTGCAGGGGTGACCTGCAGAGCTGACCCCACCCCTCACTCCCTGGAGCCCTGGCCACTCCCTGAGCCCACAGACTGCAGGTGGAGGGGGCGCTACCTTGAACACAGGTCTGTCCGCCAGTGACCAAGACCCCGGGGAGAAATTCCTTCTCTACATCTTCCTCTTGCTCTGCTGATGGCAAGACAGCCCTCTTTACTTGTTATCACTGCCTCACATTTCTGGGGCTTTTCTATTCTTTTGTAATCTTCTGCAAAGCTTTTCCATTTGTGCTCCCCACTCGATCCTTGCCGGCTCTGGCAAGGACAGCAAGGTGAAAGCATGATCCCCTCCAGAGCAGACACTTGACTAATGCAAGCTGCTCCTGACTCTCCATCACAGCCCTGAGAGCTGGCTCAGCCGCCCGTCAGCGGGAAAGGGTCTGGCACTTCTGACTGGGCTCCTGCATTGCTCTGTCACCAGACTGTCAAGGTGCCAGACATGCAGGCTCCTTCTCAAAGTACAGGTCTTGATTTTCTTCAGCACCACCCCCTCCCCGCAAGCCCTCTTCCAGCCCCTCTCCCCCATCCCCACCCACCCCTCCAAAATCCAGCATGGTCCTGAAAGCAGGGAGGGGGCTGCTGGGAGACACCAGGCAACACCACCCAGGACCACCAAACTTGAGACTGCTGTCTTCTTGTGACAGAATTATTATTTATTATTATTATTGGCTCAGAGCAAGTGTCTGGTTCAGAACAAACACAGCCATTTCCACCCACTCTGGAAGGGCTGCACAAAGGGGCAGGAGATGGAGAATAATTAACACTTTCCAGAAGCCAAAGAGAAGGAATGGAGAGGAAAGGGAAGAAGGAAGAAATAAAATGGGGGGAGGGTGAAGGAAAGCAGCCCCCCAGGAAAGCAGCCCGCCCTTTCCATGAGAACATAAAGGCTTCAGAAAATAATACATACATCGCCTCTAAGAAATAACAATCCAGGCGCCGCTCATCGGGGCTTGCTGTCCCAGGCATGAGGGGGACAATTGCTGCTCACTGAAGTTTCTAGAGCCCCAAAGAAATGAGTCCCACAAGGAAAAGCCTAGAGCACAGCCAGGGGGATGCAGCCATGTCCGGATGAAGAAGTCTGTAAAGGTAAACGGAAGCCCCCTGCCAAAGCGCAACTGGACATGGGTCACTAGGAGCCAAAGCGCTGCAGGCCCCAAAACTCATCGCAAGCAGTTCGATGTGTTTGCTCCAAGTCCCAGTGGCCGACTTCCACGTGTCCACCTGCCTCTGGCTCTTCCCCCACTAGGATGTCAACTGCTACGAACACCTGCCAGGGAGGGCAGAGCATTCCAACCTCTGATACTCATGGGTGCGCTGCCTGCCACGGTCGTTCAGGCTGGGGGAGTTCTGGGATGACTCTGAGTTCCCCCTGCCCCACGGAGTGTGGGTTCTTGAACTGAGGTTGGCCCATAGGTCAGAGCTGTCTAATGAGGGGTGCAGGGAAAGGTCAGAGGATTAACAGGGGCCCCTGCCAGCCACCCAGCCACAGGTAAAGCGAGGCAGTGTTACACCCCAGTGGGGAAGGAACGAGGGTCCAAGCGGGGCCACAGCCCCTCCCCTGGGAGACTCGGGGCAAGCTGATGCTGGGGAAGATGCCCAGAGCCCCTGGAGGCTGTGCCTCCTCCTCTGCACCCAGCCTCTGCCTCCCAGTATCCCCACTTAACCCAGACACATAAGGTGACATTAAATAATTGATGCTGTTTTTATTACCGGGAAATTACAATAATAATGACACTCATAACACAATCTTAAATTATCCCACATAATGGAAAAAAAATTAAATGTCACCCGCTGATCACTGGCCAGAATAGGGATGACACTTACATAATAGACGACCTTCTCTCCCAGGGAGCCGGGCAGCAGCCTGCTGCCCAGGGCCTGGCTGGCCCCAAAGCCAACAGGGACACAGAGCGGTGTAGACACGGAGGTAGAGGGTACAATCCTGCCTCCGGCTCTCTCAGGCAGGATGCTGCCATCTTTCTTACCTCAGTTTCCCTATGTGTTCAGGGATCATGGGTCATTACCAGGAGCCTTGCAGACAAGGAAAATCACAGCTCAAAGAACTTGGTCCCCCC